TCTGAGAATTGAACCCTACTTTAAAACTTTAGCAGAAAAAAAAAAAAATTTCGGACGTATAGCAGCGTCAAAGTAGGATCTACTTTCTCTCTTACTCCTACATAAAAAAAAAGGAATTGAGGTTCAATGTAGACGCTAAATTTCGACTCGGGTTATGTTCGACAAAACAATTCATGGTTTTTAGTGAATTAAATATGTTCATTACCACTATTGTTAATTCAACTTAAACGAATTTGTTATCTTTATTACCATATGCTTGAATTAAAAAACCAAGTATTTCAAAAAACAAACTGAACCTCAACTAAACGCATTTAGTTCAGTTAATAGTATCTTTTTCTCAGTGTATGAAAGATGAAACTTGTTGGCAACACAACAGCGATGCGATACTATCGTTGTTTCGGATACTTATCAATCGCTCTTTGTATCATTTGTTAAATAACGTTATCTACACGGTGTGACGGGTTATGGGACTTTCCAAAATTGTTTTTCTGATTACCTACACTTACAGGACAGGGGAGGTAGTGTGTAGCGTTGTTTGAGTTGTGTGTAACGGCGCGTGCGGACGTTCGATTTTTTTTGACCGATCATCTCTCAGATACAAGCAGCTACGGTAAGTAACGTCCGACCTCTGTTTATCATCGTGGTGGTTCGCGTTCGATAATTTCGTGGGGGATATCGCGATGGAGCATCGCGCCGAGCGATTCATTACGCGCCGAGGTAATGGTATCGCGCGGCCTACTACTACCTGTGTACGTCCGGATGTGATAACGGCGAAAATTGAGAAAACACGGGTTACATTTTTTTAAAACTGTGAAATATCTTTGTGTACGTTTCGGATCAAAAAGCTTTCGGAACGCCGGTTTTGGAGATGAGAGAAAGGGTTGCATTACGAGAGAGAGAGAGGGAGAGAGATGTTTAATCCGACGTTATTTATCCTCCGGGCGCGAGAACACGGGAATTCTGGAAATCGAGACAGAGAAAAACGGGCACGGTCAAATAGCGACCGGGGGGAGTAGAAAGAAGAGAAAGGGAAGGGAATAGCCAGAACGCGCGAGCGGGCTCGATCGGCGGGGGCTCTTCGCGACTGAAGTCCCTCGGCTTTATCGCCCGAGAATTTCATATCTTTCCTTTCGCGATGATATTTATCAAGCGTAATGCGCGAGCGTGAAGCCCCGGTAATTATATATGAATCCATTAACGGAGCTGAAATGGGATTGCAAGAGCTGCGAGATGAAAAGCGAGTAAGACGGAAATGCGCACGCTGCGCGCGAGAACGGACCGGCGAAGGGATGAGGAGGACGGGGGGGGGGGGGAGTGGGTGAGGACGCGCACCGCCCTTTTCGCCCTCTGCCCAGACGTCGCGCAAACACGCTCTTCTTATTCATGGAATGAAAAACCCGTATACGTTGATTAGCAATTCTTTAAAGTATACATTTACATTACCGCGAAACATGACGGCGCGAGGCGTTCCGGCTTGCATTTTGCAAGTTATAATTTAATATTGTTGAGTGCTGCGGAGGCATTGCACTTAAGATGTTACGCGCGCGAGGAGGGGAAGAGCGTGCGATCGTTATGTAAACACAACGTTGCGAGAAGATGTAACATCGTCCGCGACTACACAATGCTCTCGCATGTCCGAGAAAGACAGACGGACAGAGAGAGAGAGAGAGAGAAAGAGAGAGAGGAGAGAGAGAAAGAGAGTCGTAAAAAATTTCGAAAATCCAGCCAGCTAGAAAATAACGATAAATTGAAACGTCCGTGTCCCGATGGGAATCCTCGTCAAGCACGTATTTACACTGTAATAATTAAAATCTACGAGAGAGAGAGAGAGAGAGAGAGAGAGAGAGAGAGAGAGAACGGCAACACACAAAATGGGAAAAATTTTAACGATGATGAATCGCGCAACTAGACGGGAAATACGATTCTTCGCTGATACGATTTATTATCATACGATATCTCATGATAATTGAACATTTTTTTTTAACTGCCGCAACTTTTTCGCTCGCTAAAATGTTCATATTGCGCCAACTCCCCAAAACAATCTTCAACGCTTGATTATTCGACGATTAAATTGCTCTCTCACGCACGCGATCGATCTTTTTTCTTTCTTTCTTTTTTTTTATTACATGGATTGTCTTAATTAAAAGTAAAAACACAGTCGACATTTCGCCGACGTGATGTCAAATCTGCGCTGTTCTTATTTTTTCAAAATATCAATTCGCGAGAAGAAACAAAAATCACTCTGGAAGAAACTGCTGATTTCGCCAATTAAATTAGAGCTTGAATAAAAATAGAAAATATCGGATGTGTGTGTTCAACTTCGAAATCCAATAAATAAATCGCGACGGTTGTTGTAAAGATAAAACCACTTTTTTTGCGGCACGCGAGAAAGAGCCGCGGAAACAGAGTCCAACACTCACCTTTCTTCAGCATCATTGTTCGCGAACCTTCCGTGGGAGTGAACAGGCCGTTACACGTAGCGTCGCCGCTCTGAGCCACCTGGTACATCTCGGTCGTACCTTCGGAAACCGGTCCACCTGGCACGGTGACTTCGTGATCCATGACACCTATGCCTATCGCGGCCCTGTTTAAATTGCTCTGCACCGGTTGGTTCGCCTTCTCGTAGACGAAGCATCGGTATCGATCCTCGTTGCTGGACGCGTGTCCGTGATGCAGACGGCCGACCAAGTAGCGGCTGCTACCCTCCTTCCAGGTGGCCAGACATTCCAGCTCCTCAACTGAAACACGTAGAAGAAACCACAAGGCTGAACGTAATAATTACGAGCGAACTGAGGAGATCGCTCGGTCGAAAAAAATCTCGACCAGCGGCTCGACTAGACGCTAGAGAACGTTCACGCGTCGTCAACAAACGTCAAAATTCTTCAACTCGAAATTCGTCTCTTTTTTAAAACTCTCTACCGAAAAAATTGTATTCTTGTTTTGAGGAGAGATATCCCACTTACTTTAGGTATATTTTATACTAAAATACAGGCGCCAAGAAGAGTTTCTTATTTTAAGAGGAAAATCCTCTAAATAGTAATATATTGATAAGAATATATACTGATTAGAATATAAAAAGCCTCTATAGAAAAACATATATATCTCACTATCGAAAAAGACTATATTCTTAAATAAAGAATATATTCTTAATTTCAGAAGAATATCATCTAAAATCTTTAAGACGATTTTTTAAGTATAAGATCTTCTACTTACAAGAATATAATTTTTTTGGTATATATATATATATATATATACATACACGTACACCAAAAAAATTGTATTCTTGTTTTGAGGATATCCCACTTACTTTAGGTATATTTTATATTAAAATAGGCGCCAAGAAGAGTTTCTTATTTTAAGAGGAAAATCCTCTAAATAGTAATATTGATAAGAATATATACTGATTAGAATATAAAAAGCCTCTATAGAAAAACATACATATCTCACTATCGAAAAAGACTATATTCTTGAATTAAGAATATATTCTTAAATAAAGAATATATTAGTAAATTAGTAAATGAAAAAGGTCACATCGAGCCAAAAAAAGATATTAATATAAAAATATAATGATTTAATGATCAGCACTTACATATATAAAAAATACGCAAAATATTTCGACTCTAACTGGAGTCTTCTTCAGTCGCAAATAACATTTCAATAATATAAAAATATAAAAAATACATTCAACTATAAAGAATATATTCTTAATTTCAGAAGAATATCATCTAAGATCTTTAAGAAGATTTTTTAAGTATAAAATCTTCTACTTACTTAAGAATATAATTTTTTCGGTGTTCCTTTGAATTGTTCTCGCGCACGTGCGTGCTCCTCTCAGTCTAAGAATTTCCTACCTGTTTCTCGTCGTCGTTAAGTAGTCTAAATGGTCAAGAGTCTCTCCTAATCTCATCCGAGAAACGCGGAGAGCTTGATATTGGCGTGGATCTTTGCGCGTGCGAAACTAGCAAATTGTCAACGTGAGCGCGCTCGACGCTCGTCGTTGAGAGCCGTTTAAATCTGCACAACGCGTGTGCTCCAGCTCTTTAAAGCGCACGAAGCGCAGAAAGCGAGTCTAGCGTGTAAAGCATTTGAAACTTCGAAAGCGCATTTAGCGTTTCGAAGTGTGTTACAAGATAATGGTGAAGCACGGTTGCGGCCTGACACCGGCGCGCGCTCCTATGTTTAAACTGTCTGGAGCAACAAAATTAAATGAATTTGAGTTTGACGCTCCGAGCGCTAAACGTGCTTTCGAAGTTTCAGCCGTTTTACACGCTAGACTCGCTTTCAGCGGGACGCGCGCGCGCGCGGCCGTAGCTTTGGCTCGATATACATCTCAAAGTTTTATTTCTGCGAGAGCGACTCGCCGAGCAACAAAACCCCATTCGTCAGACAAAGAATTGGAAAGGAAAACTCTTAATGACGTTCACTTAACGGTTCCGCCAGTTTCAAAGCAACTTCGTCGAATGAGATCTTTAAGACGTTACATCTTAATGTGGATACTGCGAGATTTTTTTTTTTTTTAACATGTCTGTCGACATCCGAGTCGAAATTTAGCGTCTACATTGAACCTCAATTCCTCTTTTTTTTATGTAAGAGTAAGAGAGAAAGTAGATCCTACTTTGACGCTGCTATACGTCCGAAATTTCCTTTTTTCCTGCTAAAGTTTTAAAGTAGGGTTCAATTCTCAGATCAGACTGCGCATTGCAGGCTCTGATAGGCTCAAAATAGGCTCTGATAGGCTCAAAGTAGGAGTAAGAAAAAAAGTAGATGCTACTTTGACGCCGCTATACGTCCAAAATATTTTTTTTTCAAAAATTGAGGTTCAATGTAGACGCTAAATTTTTGAAAAAAGGAAATTTTGGACGTATAGCAGCGTCAAAGTAGCATCTACTTTCTCTCTTACTCCTACATAAAAAAAGAGGAATTGAGGTTTAATGTAGACGCTAAATTTCGACTCGGGTAGGTTTCGATGAAAAAAATAAAAAATAAAAAAAAAATCAATCGCCATTATTAACTTTCGCTCGCGTGTATCTTCTTCTGTTTGCTTTATTCGGATAATTAATTGCGTCCGCGAACAATAGCACAATCACTGATGACGAGAGAGATAATCTACACGATAAATCACGGACGGGGGTTTTTGTTGTCTCTCCGATGTCTCTTGTGCGTTATTTTTCTTATACACTTTCGAATCACAGAAATGGCGATGTTCCAGCTTGACGCTGTGGGAGGGGGAGGGAGGGAGGAGAGAGGAGAGAGAGAGAGGATACGACGATACCCCCCGCAGCTAAAGTTTAATGCCCGATTCTGTGGCGGGTCGTTGAAGCAACTCTTTCTCGTTGCGCCCATTATCTGCCATTCGTAGGAGGCTAGAAGCGCCGCCTCGTAAAGAGGATTTCGATAGCGCACTTCTGGAAACGCCATTGAAGAAACGAGCCAATGCAAACGGACGGAGAAAAAGCGGGCAAACGAGACGAGAGAGAAAGAGAGAGGCGAGAAAACGTCCTGTATGGTTGGACGTCCTCCTCCGAGCGATTGTACGACGAGCCACCGCCGCCCATGATTTCCACGTGAAAAACGGCTGCCGCGATTACTGACCATCCGTTTCGCCCGCCGCCGGCCATACTTCGATATCCATTTTCACTTCGCTACCGGATTTTTATTCGCCGCGTGCAATTTTAATGAAAACGTATCTGGCGATCCGTAATTGACGGAAAAGTGAATGATACATCAGCATTTCTCCCACGAGAGAGATTTACCACCCCTCGAACAATCATCGCTAGATAGAAATCGCGCAACTTCCTCGCCGCCGCTACGTACAACATTTGATGTAATTTAGCGCGCGTAAAACAACGTATTTGTTACATCATCGTACACCATATAAAAAAATTTTCTCCGGAGAAACAAAAACATCCAATCGTGTGTTTTTTCGGTTTGTTTTTCTCTTCGGCTTTGATCTAAGATGTTGTAAATTTTTTATTTTTTTTTCTTTTTTGTTTTTTTAAGATATTGCAAATTTTTTATTCAACGAAATAATAATAATCACGCGCATCCGGATTAGTTTGGTTTTCAATGTGATTTTCATATAATATAATTTCAGTTCGATCAAAGTTATTTCAGGGGCGTATGAAATATATATATATATATATATAACTACGAGCGCGAAAACTAATAGGAAGGATTTCCGAGCTTTTGAAATGCATTCACATTTAAACTGATGAAAGCAGAAACGCATGAAAGAGATTAAAAACAGGCAGAAGTTCCGAATGCCGGGCTGAATGCCTGCTGATGCTTACGGTTCATTGCTTGCTTTGATGTTTTCGCTTTATTATATTCTATAATTCTGTTTGCGCTGTAAAGTGTAAAACAAGAAAATTTCGCATATAAACGTGTATCAAAATTATATATATATATATATATATCCAGAAAAGAGACGCGTTTTTTTCACGAAATTAAAAAAGAAGAGCTCGCGCTATCTATTTATTACACACGCGCCATTCGAGAACTCTTGCGAGGAAAAACATTCCGAATGCTCGAGGAAACATTAATCTATTGAATTATTTGTGTTAAATTACGAGAAAGATTTTCTTTCTCAAAGAAAATACATACGCGAAAAAAAAAAACAACTTTTCCGAGCCAGATTTCAGAACGTATTTCTGCGTTTCTCTTCTTTGTTAAAAAAAAAAAACACGTTAGATTTTGAAAAATCGTAAGAGAAAAAGACACGACAATTTTTCGGCGTCGTATACGCGCCTATTCGAATTGCGCGACAAACAAGAGCGCTTTTTTCTCCGGAACTAGGGAATTTTCGCGTCACTTTGTGGACGCAACGTGGAAAAACTATTTCGGCATACAAATTCCCGTAAAGAAAACGCTGACCTAAAATTCGTCAAAGAGGGTCGGTGGTTGAAAGACATCCCGATAGATCCGGGGGGCGTGTTTGGTGTGTTTGAAGATATCGCTGTGGATGCCCCCGGCGTTATTTGCCGCAAAAATGTTTCGAGCGCGAGCTCGTTCGTCGGCGGCGGCGGTGGCGGCGCGTCGTTGGCGACGCCGGGCGTCGTAAAGACGCTTCCCCGAGCGCTTCTTAAAGCGCCATTGGGAAAACCTGGGCATTCAGCGACGGACGGGAAAGGAGCGGTCGGAGGAAGACGAATGAAGCGCCCGGAGAGAAGAAGAAGACGAAGAAGAAGAAGAAGAAGAAGAAGCGAGGAAAGCTTTGCGAGCGAGCGAGCGAACAAGCGATCGACTCGACGGCGGCAGCGGCGAACGTTTTCTTGAGAAAGAAAGAGAGAGAAGGAGGGAGATTTCCGCGTGAAAAACGATACCGGGATTCTCTCCAGGCTGTCGCCGCTCGAGATCCCTTCGGCTTTCTCGGCGACGCGACCGACGGGACCGACAATTATCGGTTCGAAGCCGGACTGTGTGTGCGGGCTCGAGGCCGCGCAAAGAGAGCGAGAGATGCTATCGTTCAAACCGCCGCAAGTTCGCTTCGCCATTTCGGCCTCGCGCTCTTTCTTCTCTCTTTCTGCTTCTTTTCTCTTCATCCTCTAGTCGCCTTCCGGGCTCTAGAACCCGAATAGAGGCAACGACGACGGGATCTCGGGGGGACGGGGGGGAGGGGGGGAGGGACGCGTATCTAAATCACATCTCGCGGCGCGCGAGAAAGTCTGCTTCCCTCCCCCCTCCTTTTTTTTTTTTTTTTCCGGACGACTGAGACCCTTTCTCGCGACTCGCTCTTTCACCGCCGCCGTCGCGGTCGGCGCCTCCTCGCCTTTTTATCTCGCTCGACCGCTGTGGAGTCGGTTTTTTGATCTTCGAGTAATTTGAGAGGTGCAGCTTGGGGAAAAAACCTTCTATTTCTAGACCTTCAGATACTTCTCTCTCTCTCTCTCTCTCTCTCTCTCTCTCTCTCTGTCTCTCTCTCTCTCTCTATGTCTGTGCGATCTCGTTCCTCATCATTTCCCTCCGCGTCTCCGCGTCTTTTAAAATATCCTGCGAAAACCCGATTTCTCGCTTTTTTGAACGCGAATACGTCTTAAACACGCTCGCAAAGCAAACCCGTCGGAAAAAAAAAAATCAATAATCGCGTTTGGGGTTAATAATACATATTATTTATAGGCGTTTCTATTTGAGAAAAAAAAAGGGCACTACAGTAATCACGATTTTTCAAAACAAAAAAAACAAAACAAAACAATTGCTGTCAATAACAATGTGTGTTCCGCGATACAAAATTTCAAACAGTCGCCGGCGTTTCAAATTCAGATCAAATCGATTTAATTGTGAAGAGAGACACGCGTTGTTGGTTGAAATATTACGTGTCGTGAGAAATTTGGAAAACACGCGATCGCGCGTGTAATAAAACCGATTTTCTATATATGCGAAACGTTTAAATCGGTTACACCCGAATTATGAAAAATTTCTAAACCACATGAAAAATTGATTCACATTCTGCGAATGATCTATTCGCCGACCGGCGAGCGAGAGAGCGATACGCATCGAATCGGCTCTAGTCGGAGAAATCGGTTTCTCAACAGGTTGCACGGGAAGGCGGGAGAAACGAAAGGCGTTGACGATGTCCCTTTTCGCGCGAAACGCCGGGATTCAGAATGAAAGGATCGTTATAAATACCCGCGTGCGTTTCAATTTAATTCGGAAAAAAAAATCTGTCGCCTGACCGAATCGCAACCGCTTTTTTACTGCTGCCCCCCCCTCTCTCTCCCTTCTTTTTCCGCAAAGTGCTCGTTAAAGGTACGATTCGTTCGTTTTTAGATTTCGAGCCCGAAATCGTTTCCATTTTACTGGGTGTTTGAAACGCGCGGACGCGCGGGTATACCAAAGCGCATCGAAAGTAAATCCGATCACACACGCGACGAGAAAAATAGAAGAAGAAAATGCACAGGTATATATAAAGCCGCACACGCTAGTCTCTCTCGGTTTCCTCTCCATTCACATTGTTCCGCTGTATTTACATGACGTCTATCTATACATTTTCTTTTTTTTTTTTTTAATCCCTTGCGTAATATCGCGAATATGCGAGATATTGCGAGGTTATGATAAAATCAATGGCCGCCGAAAATTGCAGCATTGAATATTCCGGGAGACGTTTAATTGAACAAGAAAATAGAAAATAACAAAATTGTCGATATATTTTTCTCGATTGATGCGAGCTATGGAAACGTTTCTTTTTAGAAAAAAAAAAGAACGGAGAGAGAGAGAGAGAGAGAGAGAGAGAAGCGGAAAAAAAGTTTAATAATTTTTTTATAATGCAAAATATTTGATACCGTGCGATTTTTTTTGTATGACAAAACCAAGCTGCAACGGCGTATGGCGACGGGATGTGACAAAACAAAAAATATGATAACGCACACATCGTTGCGCGTTCGAGTCTTCTTTGATGCATGACAAGTGCAAATCACTTTGTGAAGTATTGCACACGGTGATGTTATCGATAAATCCTGATTTTAATCCCGTCAAACTCCGAAAGTTAATTTGAATATTTGTGCAATGCGAAGCGTAAAAAGTACTACTTCTTCAACTAGTTTTTTTTTTCATGTAAATTATTAAACCCTGAAAGGACATTCGCGAAATGAATATTCTATTCTATTATATACCTTCCTCACCGCCGCCCCCTACCTCCTTTATCATCTGGTGGCCTTAATAGCGGAACCGGAATCGATGTTCGGCCTGATGAATATTTAGACGCTGCCCACACATTTTGCAATGTAACTAACTGGTATAATTGGCAACGCTATATCCCTTAGCTTTGAAAACGGATTATCGCGACGACATCGATTAAACCGCAATATATTAAATTGAATACACACATCGGTCAAAAGTGGACACATGAAGCCCGGTATTGAGTACAAATTTAATCTCGCTGTGCCTCGCGTTATTAAATGCGAATCCATCAAGTAACGAGTGTTTAATTGAAGCGCGCAAGATATACAAACTCCCCTTCCCCCCCTCGATGATGGGGCGAGCGCGGCCTATCGCGCGCAGAGTCGCTCTCGAGTGACTGTTAACACGAAATGCCAATCATCCTAATAAGCTGTACTACTCAAGTTAAATTGTAACAATTAAACGGCGCATCGATCTTTTGACAAAGAGTTCGATTAATCACTGCAACAACTGTCTCTCTCTTTCTCTCTCTCTTACGCGCCGCGTTAATTACGTTCTAATTTCATCAATGAACAAAAAATTCACCGTGATTCGAATAACGTAAATATTCGATGTAAATAAATAAGCGATTTCACAACAGAGTATTGATTGTAATTATATTATATAATAAATTATTATGAAATATACAGTTTTCACACACACACACACACGAACACGTACACACGGTGAGTTAAAGAACTGAAAAATGTGAAAATATATGAAACGGTATGTTAATAATTTATTTAATAGAAATACGCACTGCACGAATCTATATTTATACGTATGTAATTGGTAATATTATAACAAAACATTTCTCTCGAAGAAATATGCTGGTCGTTGGTTGTAAAGCGGCTTATAAATTAAATGCAGGGAATTTAGTTTACTGTAGTTTGTAATTTGTGAGAAGTTTAACAAAATTATTAATACTAATAACAAAACGCAAATTGTGTACGCGCACATTATTGGGATCACGTGAGAGAATCACATTTCGAATTAAAAAAAAAAGTGTCAATTTTTTTTATCGTCAATTGTTTCGAAACAATTCACGATTCTCAAACTTCTGACGCTTTTTTTCGCACACAAATAGATTTGTTTTTTTTTTTTTTTTTTTACGGAATAAAAGTAGAAGTTTTTCTTTTGCGCGATAAGAAGAAGAAACGTCTTACCTGCGCTTTCCGAAGCCGGTATGTCCGGACAAGCCTGGTACTTGAACAGAAGTCTGCTGTCGTCTGTGCAGGTGTCGACATTGCTCGGCGGATTAGAACACGTACCGTGGCCACGGTTGTATGAAAAAGTCATCGGTCCGCGAAAGGGACACGCCACGGGAGGCGCCTCTTCGCGGAACATGGAGTACAGCAACGCATCCCCCGTAATAAACGAGCACAGAGACGCCAAAGAATTCCTAGTGTGACAGTAAGCTGCAAGGAAAATTTAATTAAGATTATACACACGCTCCAGTTGTCAAACACAGCCTATAATAATAATAATAATAATAATAATAATAATAATAATAATAATAATAATAATAATAATAAATTTGTGTCGTTACAATATCATTTTATTATTAAATTCGCGAGCCAAATTTTCCCGAAACAATATTCGTTACTCGAAAATTTGCGACATCACGTATTAGTATTGAATATTACAGAAACGCATGTTAAATAAATAATATGACGAAAAAGATCAGAAAAATTAATTTACAAACGGTAAATATTAAACGTTAACTGTAGGTATTCGGTTAAAATATATTTAAATTATTTTTTTTCCATTTTTCTTCTTCTCTATTTTAAATAAGAGCAAAAAATTATTTTGCTCTTGTAAAATCCAATTATTTTCGAACGGGCGGCTTTTAAATAATTCTATTTTAAAAAAAAAAAAAAAAAAAAANAACAAAACATAATGCAAATCTATAGCGAACTTCTTCGCGTACATCGCGCGCTTGACAAAATGATACGGGATTTATGTAAAGGGAAATATAGTATTTTGCTCTTGTAAAATCCAATAGATACAAAAAAAAAAAAATTTAAAAAATTCTATTTTAAAAAAAAAAAAAAAAAAAAAAGAGTAATCTTATTTCGAAACAAAACATAATGCAAATCTATAGCGAACTTCTTCGCGTACATCGCGCGCTTGACAAAATGATACGGGATTTATGTAAAGGGAAATATAGTATTGACGATTATGATATTGTTATACGATCACTCGCGGAAGAGACTCCGATTAGAAGTCTTGTAACGTCGCGGAAACTTCAATTTTCCCGAGCGCAATATTACCGTTATCGGATTTCGTATATCGCTGATGATAACGTATCACTCGTACGGCGCAAAGTGAATGAAAGCCTCTACAAGCCGTCCTATTACTCGGTTCGCTTCGCCCACACACGAAAAAGTTCCTCCGCGGCAGCAAATCTTCCGCTACGGCGCGTATCATTTTTCGAACGAACCCGACGATAATCGCGGTTACATCTCTTTTTACGAGACTCTCCCGCGGGGAATCACGACGTTAATAAAAATTTTGCCGGATAACGAAAAGTTCTTCTATATCGTCGCCGGCGACGACGCGAGACGCGCGCGGTGAAGAGAAAGTCGTCGTTGGGCGGGCGATGGCCGTCGGCGGAAGAGAGGAAAAGAAGAAGGTCGAGTTGGACGATGACGAATCTTCCTGAGTAGCAAGTTCATAGCCGGCGCGCGGTGGAAGTTTAACCGAGGATATTTCCCTCGATTTCTTTCTCCCCCCCCTCCCTTGCCGCGCAGAAAACTGCCGGCGTCTACCGCGAAGAGACTTAACTTTTCTGCACGCAGGTGTTACCCCGCGGCCACACAGTGAAAAAACGAGCAAAAGACTTTTGTCTTCGGTCTGCCTCTTTATTGGCGACGAGATCCCTCTCTTCTTCTCTCTCTCTCTCTCTCTCTTTCTTTCGTTTAAAGCTTCTTTTCTAACTCAAATAATTCCAACGACTGTGTTTACTGATGTATAAGCGTTTGAAAGAATTGCAAAAATTGCTCTCACGTCGTCTACTTTGAGATATTATATTAAAATAATAAATTCAAATGTGTCGTGTCGCGAGATGTTCGTGCAGATTTATAGCGTATGTTATTCAACGGACTACTCGAGGCATCATGTTGCAATGAATTTTCGAATTGAATTTAATTCAAATCTCCATGTGTATTGCATGGTAAAAAGGTACAAGGTTAAAAAAAAAAATATATATATATATATGTACGTGTTGCCTTGTGTTCGACCTTAATACTTAGTTGAACATATAATGAACATAAAGACTTCTGAGTTTTTCAGCAAATCTCGCGTTTCTTTAATAAAGTACACGTCCTTTGTGGAAGTATTGCGTTTGCTTCGACGTTTCACTCGTCCGCGCTTTGACGTTCTCGCAACCGAGATGCTTGGATTTGCGCCGAAATAGGTGTGTATGTGTGTGTGTGTGTGTGAGAGAGAGAGAGGTAGGTAGGAGTGTTCCCCCATTTTTCCCGGCGACAAACTGTGCTCACCGAAGGCAGTCTGCGAGCGACGGTGCCCGCGGCGTGACACTATGCAGATTAAAGCCCGATAAAACGAAGAGAAGAGAGAAGAAAAACGAGGGACTTTGACAAATCGTCGAAAAATGCCGACGCGAGACGTACGGAGGCGGATCCAGCGCGCGGACGCTGTCGCGCTTTTTTTCCGCTCGCGCGTACATGTTGACCTGCGCTTTTTTCTTTCCCGTGGAGCTACGAGTCCGAAAACGTGGACGCGCCACCGGTAGAGACGCTCCCTATCGCGTTTAGGTGAACGAAACTTCGGGCTATACTACTACTTTCTTGATGCTTCCTATCCTATCGCCGAACTCTCGATATTCGATAAAACTGCAAAAGTATTCTTCCGAGAGAGATCGTTCGGAATATAGTTGCGCACGTAGAAAACTACTCAACTACGATTTCTATAATACGAGCGATTACAATTCGTGACGTCGCGCTCTCGTACGATGTTCGTCCGTGAACGAAAAACCGACATACACAATCGTCGATTTTACGCGCAAGCAGATGTAATACAGATCGTATTAAATTTTTATTCAATTATTTTTTTTTTTTTACAATCAATATTAAATTGAGGATCTCCTCAGGCTCGTAAAGTTTATTAAACTTAATAAATGAATAAATAATTAGTCTTAAAGAGCCGTTCGCAGGATGTTGTGCGGAAAATATGTCTTATATGTGTGTACACATATATAAGTAAATTCACGTGTGTTTTTCGAATTGAAATTTCAATTCTTAAATTCATATAGGATGCTAGTTTTGCATCTCATATATGACAGACCCCGAATACCCCCTCTAATTGATTTAAAATATTGCGAAAAAAATTCCTCAGCCAGGAGCCGAACCTGGAATCTCCGGCTTTCTATTTTTTTTTTTTTTTTCAACCTAATCGCGATCGTGGAAAACTTCAAAAAAAAGTGTATCACACTTTATTTTGTTATATTACAATTTTTCCCACACGCTTTACTAAATCTATATCTGAACGATTGTTTAACAACTATATATATATACATTTATTTTATTTAACAACTATATATATATATATATATATATATATATATATATATACATTTAACGTTCTCCCGAGAGACTGTCTGCGCCGGGATTTTGCAGTAACGTTACCAACCGGAAGCGGACGACGTGCCCGTACTTTTAATCCGGCGAATATGCGAAGTGCGAACTAGCGCGTTTCGTTAGAAATTATTATCGTGTTTCGACGAGTTCGCTCGGATGAGCGCATTAACGAGGCGGATAGGATATCCACGGAACGTCGAGGGAAGACGGGGATGGACGGGATGTGTGTTCCCCCCGATCTTCTTTACACGGTAAACGAGATTGGCAGTCGCGGGACGGAATTAGCGAATCCGTTTTCGTAACTGCAACTACTCTGTGACGTCGAGCGCTCATTGCGTTCGCGCGCGGCAACGGCAACGGCGACGGCGGCGGAGAAAATCGTTACGTCCAGGAATAATTTCCAGACGCTTCGCTACGGCATTATGTCTTTCTTCTTCCGCCGTCTCATCGCGCGGATTTTAATTAACGATCGGCATTTTAATGAACAAGCGGAAAGCTAACGGCAAATCGTTATCGATCCGGCGAAGTAACGACGAGCCACTCTACGGTGTGCATATTTTCTCGTACCTATTTCTGTAATTTTTTTTTTTTTTTTTTTTTTTGGTTTGTTTTGTTTTGTTTTTTTGGTACTTACTCTCTTTGTACTGGAGAACGTTGGAGTGCTTCTCGTGGATGACGACGCAGCGATAGCATGATTTTCTGAAACAAAAAAAAAAGCAATAAAAAAAAAAAAAAAAACATCAGAGCATTAATTCTGAGCACTTCGCGATGTTGGAAAACGTAAAAATCCTATACTGTTGCTTCTATCTGCCGCGTTGAAACCGAAGAGACAAAACGGCACGATTTGAATAATACGTTCTTAATCAGTGAAAATAAAACCAGTCGAAGTCAAAATAATGTGCACCAGATATTTCTCAGAAAGAAGAAAATAAGAAGAACGCGCGCGAAGAAACTGAACAAGAAATCCGCGTTGGCGACTGATTTTTTTTTTTGTAATTATTTTTCTCTCGAAAACGACCGAAGTTGTTCTGTAGGGGGTAGAAAAAAAAAAAAAAAAAAAAAGAAAAAAACATCAGAACAGTTTTGAAATGTGTACGGTTACGTTACGTTGCCATACGTTTTTAAAACGATATCGCCAATTCTCCGGAATTGAATAAACCGCTAGCCGAGATAAAAAGAGAAAATATTCAGGGTATTCGGTCGACCGATTTCGCTATATTAGCTTTAGTAACTAAGGCTTTGATCGGTTGGATACATGTACCGTGCATGTTATCTGAATCCTATGTGTGTGTGTATATGTACATATATACATATATATATGTGTGTGTGTATATACATATATATATATATATATACACATGTACACACATATATATATAGCTCCATAGAAATTTTCAGAGTAAAAAAATTGTCTCGCTACAATTGCTTGCGCGGTGCACAAAGAGATTAAAATAAATACCAATAGATACAATATGGACAGGTTTTGTTTTTTTTTTTTTACTTCGTTACGATGTACACTAAAGAAACCAATATCCAATTGAAGAGGTATTGAACTTCTACTGCCGGATTACTTATTTATTACGATACGATTAATTTGAAGATGAAAATTTAAGTTTTTGTCGAGAGCGAACAATCTACTTTTTCTTTTTTTTTTTTTTTTTTCGTTATCCTTTAATAGAACCAAAAGTAAACAATCTAGTTTTCCATCATTTTCTCCACTTTTATTTATTTTTTTTATTATTACGATTTATTTGTTGATACGAGAATGAAAAAAAAAAAAAAACCCAGTAGATCTGCAGACGTTTGATTAAAACGAATATAAACAATTTGTTTTAAATCATTTTTTTTTTAAGCGCAATTTGTGTTACTTTATTTGCGAATATTTTGAAATAACAAAACACTTGCGGAGCGCTTTGTAGAAATTGCGCGCCGATAATTTCTCGAAAAATAGATTTGCGTATTCTGAAATGGAGAAGATGTAATTAACGCTCTCGATCGCACTTACTGATCTACAAGAAGAAACTTGTCGCCTTCGTTGTGCAGACACTTGCCCTTGGTGGATAACTCGTTCTTGAGTATTACTATTGATTGCCTCACGCCACTTTGAAACCACGTGCCTTCCCACCTCGCTGGAAACGAGCATTCTGGAAACAAGCAAGAAATAGAGTTCAAGGTTAGAACAAAGATTATTATCGTTTGCGTCGCGTTTGCATGAACAACAAAATTCGCGAATGAAAAACAAAATTAGGAGGATTTAACTCGCGTTGCGCAAAAATTCTAAACAGATTTTTCAATTTAAACGAACAAATTTTTTTTACAATCGCGAAACAAACAAATCAATCACGCAAGTGTAAGAGACCCCCCCGCTCATTTCTAGAAATCCCACTTAAAGCTTTTACTCTTCAGACTCTGTCTTTTAACGAGATTTACGTCACGTCCATTTGCACCTTACACGTCGCGAGGAAAATGCGGAGAGACGTAATATACCCAATGAAGTAATTCGGGACAAATCGAACGCGAGTCGAAGACACAAGCGTGAGAGTAAAGACAGAGAAGGGAAATTCGACGTAGACGTGTGAGCAAAAGAGAGAGAGAGAGAAAGAGAGAGAGAGAGAGAGAGAACGGAGCGGAGGGAAAAGGAGAGACGGAGAAGTCGGAGGGAACACACCGTCGATGGCGAGATGGGAATTCCCAGGGTGGGATAATCCCGAGGGCGAGGCGAATTTCCGGAAACTACTGCTAGTATGGAAGGGATACATCCAGCCGAGTTATCGGCGATAATCGAAATCCGGAGGAGTCCCCGGTGCCTCGTTCGTTTCCCCCGCGTGCGTAGGTCCACCTATCTACTGAAAACGAGAAGAGAGAAACGAGAGACGAGAGAGAAGAGGAAAGGGGTTGGGAGGGGGGAACGAGGAGAACGACGGGATGTATTTTTGAACCCGACGGGGCGAAATAGAAATCCATTTTCGAGAAACGAGCGGGGACGCGCGCGATACAAAACGATGTTTGGTCCAAACATGAGGTGAAAATTACGAAACAGGAATGATGGATGTATCTCCGCTTTTCTTTCCCGTGTAATATATATATATATATATATATATATATGTATACACACACGTATACGAGCTATACACTGCCATAACTACGGTATTGTTTCTCCTGAATGAAACGTGCTATTCTCAAACGAACATTTCCAATTCGCGATATAGAGATATAGCGCGATCCGATACGTATATAGTCGACACATGCTCGCAACATGTGCTCACAAACTTCCGCATGTTATGTGTTTGATAATTCGTTGTGTTTAACACAAGTTGTATCTTTATTGATCAAGTGTGCAAATTTAAACGCGCGCGCGAGAGAGAGAGAGAGTAGAATGTGATTATCATTTGATACACTTAACCGGTGTTCCGCTAACGAGAACGTTTTCTCACGAATCGAGATAACGTTTGATGGAACTTTAATGAAGTCGCTAACGTATAATGATTGAATCACCGTTAATCTAACACACCAAAGTGCCCGTCCCTCGCAATAACGCGCTCCGACGTGGTGTCTTCTCCATCTCGCCTCGATTCGAAATTGTCATTCTGTGCGTGTACATACATATGTGTGTCTGAAGTAATTTACGCCGGGAGATTAATTTAATGGCTTAACTTTGTTACGCCGCGCGGTACCGCCGATTTCGCTTGTAGAGGTATTCTTCGTTAATATCCTATCAGATATAACTGCCAGAAACTACCTTTATGCATAGCGCGGCATTAGCCGAACTGCTAGAACTAATAGTCTCATAATTTTGATTTACCCTACGCAATAATCAAGCGGCATAAATTTCGCGCGTTTGTATCACTCGCGTTTATCTAACAACGCTTTATATGTCTAAATAACGCTTTACATTATATAAACAACGCTACAACTTTTGTACAACGCACAATTTTCTGTAGCGCAGTTTTTTTTTTTTTTTTTTTTCTAAATAAAGGAATATACGGAAATTAAATATCTCGCTACGGAGAGAGAGAGAGAGAGACGTATCGGATAACCGTGACGTCGTTTAACGCGCTTAATTAGACATCTGCAAGACGTGGTTAAGAGAGAACGCCGGGATAAGCACGACGCCGAGACTTGACGGCACGCGAAAGTAATTCAATTGCGGAAAAATATTTTCGCAAGGATTTCGCGGCCGAGGGGTAACAAAGAGAATTTAAGCAAAAGTCCGCCGGGCGGCGCGCGGACTGTTATCGTTTCTCGAAGTTGACTCACGACTGTTGATTCGTCTAATTGGAGAGAGAGGTTTTTTCTTTTTTTTTTTTTTTTTCCCTAAGGTTTTTCCAGAGAGGGTGGATGGTTAAATGTTGGTTAAATGGTTTACCGACTATTGGCGAGAGGAGGTAAATAACGACGATCCTTTCTCCGAGAAATACGTGCGCTCTCTGGTTAGCTTTGCTAACGCAAATTTTGGCCGGGTGTTTGTAATAACAAGACGCGAATGAGTTCTCCGTGCTCGGAATGTTGAGACAGCGTTTTTATAAGAAAATCCTTTTTCTCGCTTTCGCACGCGCGCGCGCGCGAGCGGCCGCTGACACGTTGAGGCTTGTACCGAGCCTCCATTATGGTTTGCACAAACATAGCACGTTTACTTTTTGTTCCCCCGCAAATGGAACAAAGAAACCGCATCTCTCCCTCCTGTTCAATTTGAAAAGGATTTTGTGTAAAAATAGACACGTGTAGAAGTCGGACACGCGAGAGTATGCACACACACACACACACACAAAACACAGTTCTTTCGCGGACTGTTACTTTGCGCGGAGAATAAATAAATTAATAAAATTGTTCAAACACAAGAAAAAGAAACGTAATCGTTTGTTAATTTATTTTATTAGACGACAACACAAATGACCACGCGCAATTTCGTTATTTTGTTTTGCGCGCAATTATTACAACGTTTTTTCGAATTGCATTTTGCATGTGTAAATATTTATACATATTTGTATGAAAAAAATATTAAAAAAATATGAAAAAAAAAAGCTTAAAGCTCGTTGAAATTAATAACAAGATATATATATATATATATATAAGGCCTTACGAGCCATTCTCAAGATGATTTTTCGCAGAAAATTTTAAAATTAGTTGGGGGGGGGGGGTATCCGGGGTCTGTCATATGTGAGATGCAAATCCGGCATCCCGTGTGATTTTAAGAATTGAGTTTTCAACTCAAAAAACACTCACTTGTAAAAATTTACAAGTTGAATTCGTTACATGTGTATGTATATATATACACGTACAGATTTTTCTACTCAAAACATCTTGAGAATGGCTCGTAAGGCCTTATATATATATCTTGTTATGAAAAAAATATGTTCGTAAAAAAAAAAAAAAAAGAGACTTTATCGAAACGTTTACGGCAAGTGAACACGCCGGTCTTAGCTTGGAGGGGTTGAAACTGAGACCACCGCGTGTGTTTGCTATTTATTTTGCATCATTCAGAGCAAACAACAGTAATTGGAGGGGTTAAGGGAGAGAAACTGATTACGTGTGGTGAAAAAAAAAAAAAAATCATCGAGCACTCAAGGACGAGTGTACGAGGGGTACAGGTGCGTTCGGGACGAAATGGGGATCGATACGACGCGAGGGGGTTCGAACCACAGGTCCCGAAATTCGTCAACCACCCTCCTCGCACATTCATCTCTTCCCCCCCGAGAGCGCCGTTTTACCGTCGGCGGCCACCCTCCCCGACGGGCATTTATTTATTTCCACGCAGTTCGTATGCCGCACGTTTTCTCCGCGTTTCTCCCGTTTCTCTCGGGCTCGAATGAGGCGATGAGGCGTAACAAGGGTGAGAACGCCGTGGGAGAAGGACTCCGGAAGGTCGCGCGAAAAACGCGGGGGAGGAACATTCGCGCAAGGGGGACGGGGCGGGGGGGGCGTGGGGGTCTCGCGAGTCGCGCTAGGGTCGTAAAATCCGCGGGAGAAACTCGAAACCCGTAATCACAGTTCGCACTGTGTAGTCGCCCACCATGATGGAGCACCTTCGCGAGGGAGAGAACACCAGACGGCTTTCTCTGGAAAGCCGTGGAGAAAAGCAAGAGGGGGGGAGGGGGTGGATAAACTCGGAGAGCTCGCGTCTCGCGAACATTGCGCGAATTATCTTCTTCGTTTCACCTCGATTGGCTTCTCTCCGAATTGTCTCAAAAAACTTTTATTTCGTTATTTCTTGCAAATCGATTCGGCGCCGAAATTTGTCATTTAATTTTCTCACAATTCCGCGGCTGTGTAAAAAAAAATAACCGGTTGTTTTTTTTTTTCGTTTTTTTTTTTTTCGTCGAAGTTTTTCGGTCTCGATATCGAACGACACAGTTTTACGGGGCAATTAAAACGCGCGGTTACGTCGCGTTAACGAAGTTTTCTCCTCCGACCGCGAGGGATTACATCGAGAGATATACACGGGCTCTCTCTACTCTCTCGGTCAATCCAGTAACGACGAAAGATTTTCCATCGCGGAGAATGGCGATGGAATGGAGAAAAGACGAAATACGGAAAGCGCGCGCGGCGGGAAGCTTTTCGACCACCACCGCGAAATGGAATGCCCAGAAATTTTATATTTATGCTTTGCGGGGGGTTATATTGCTGGTTTTGGTGGGAAGCGACCGAGTGAACAAAATCGATATGGGTGTCGATACGCGCGCGCGTGTTCGATCCGGGTAAATTGAAATCCATAACCAAACACGGTATATGCAACAGCACTCAAACGCGGTCCGTTGTCACGACGGAAAGTTCCCTCCCGTCTTCGGAGCGGTAAGAGAACGAATGACGACGCGATGCGTTCTCGTTGTTTCGTATCGAATTGTATCTCGCGCGTTCCTCGCGTCTTCTCTTTCATTTTTCTAAATAATCTCACGGAGAAGATAATAATCTTAAAAATAGAAAAACATTTCTTATGTTCTCGGAGAGTTTCTTTGCAGAATTCGTTGCGAGAGATTAAACAGCGAATAATATTCGAACACGAGTTTTACTTCTTCGCGGTATAAGTTTTATTTATTTATTTATTTTTATTTTAATGAGGAATTTAAAAAATACAAAGCCAAATATTAAACACAGAGGTGAAAATTTATCGTCCGGGAATGCGTTTCAACATTTGAAATTGATGATC